AAGGGCTCATTATTCCCTTTTTTTTATTTTTCCAGCATCGCCCATAAAAACAAAACACACAAAAAAACAACAAATCATAAATAGAGGGAAAAGGGAAAGAGAAAGCCAGTAATACAGCTGGATTACGAAAAATAAGAATTGGCATGTATAATTCACTACAGCTCCACTTTGATTCTATACTTCTGTTTCATCAAGGATTTCTGTTACAGCCACATGGTTTTTTTTTGTTTGTTCCCTGGATGTCTCCAATATGCCGTTGTCACCATCATCAACGTAACATTTATTTGTTGTTATTATTGCTACTGCAGTTCTTATATGTCCCTGGGTGCATGGGTGCATTGCATACAAGTGGGGGGTATACATAAACTGACATTCTGTTTGCATTGACCATCCCGCAAAATAGTGCAATGAGTCCACACAGTTTCTTGTAATGAATAAAGAAAAATATTCGTTTCCTCCTCACTCTTTTTTTGTATGTGTGTGCCTGTCTGCTTGTCTCTGCAGTACGCCCCCTCTATCCTCCCTCCTCACTCGCCCACGCGCCGCCAGAGAGGCACGCACACGCACATTCATATATACGGATAGAGCGAGAGCGAGAGTGAGTAGTGTGGAACTTCCATTTTATTTCTGCTTCAAACATACGCTAGCGAGGCCACCTCTCCGCCGCCGCTTCCATGCGTCGTCGCTTCCAGCGCTCCAGAGTGAAACCACAAACCAGAAAGAACGCCAACTCAAAATAAAAAGAAAAAAACTGCAATATAGTAATAAAAGAACGAAGACTCCCTCTCTGCTTCCTCATTGCCGCGCACGCGCCACACCATACACACAGTAGCGTGCAACGGCAGACGCAGGCACGCCAGTAATGCACAGAATAGAAAAGCGGAAGCAAACAAAGTAAACAAAAAAAGAAACGGGAGTAATAACGCCAATATCTAAGAGAGGTAAAAGACACATGTGGCAGGGAGGCAAGCAGGGGGAAAAACGAAAACAAAAAAAACGTGACAAACAAACACACACATACACATGGAAGAAGAGGGAAATGCGTCCGGAAGAGCATGTGGAAGTGAGGAGCGGGTAAATCCGGAAAAGTCGTAAATAAACGAAATCACAGTAAAAAGGAACGCAGAAACAATAACCATCAAAATAAGTTCTCCACACTTCCACACTAAATGAGTAGCCAAGTAAATGATACAGAGGGACAGTTTGTTTGTTTTTTATTTGTTTTTTTTGTTTTATTGTTTTTTTATTTGTCGTTTTTTTGTTGTTGTTATTTTTTTTTACGCTTCCCTGCGGTGTTGCGCCGCCGCCTCGCAAAGATGGCGGGGACAACCGGGTGCGGGCGGAAGTGAAGAGACAAGGTGAAATACAAAAAAAAAAGGGCAGGACGGGAAGGAGGCCAAAGGGGGCGGCACGGGGCCTCACTTACAATACATCTAAAACAAAAAAAAACAAAAAAAAGCGCGACAGCAAACGACAAAAGAGAACAAAA